GGAGAGGGAGAGGGAGAGGGGGGAGGGGGGAGGGGGAGAATGAAGGAGGGAGCATGGTGGGGGGGAGAGGGAGAGGAATGTCGTGAGGGAGATGGGGGAGGGGGAGGAGGGAGGAGGGAAGTATAATGAGGGGGGGAGAGGAAGAGGAGTATGGTGGGGGGGGAAGAGGGAGAGGATTGTGGTGGGGGAGAAGGAAGAAGAAGAAAGAGGGAGGAAGGAGGAGGAGGGAAAGGGAATGGGGAGAGGGGTGGGGGAGAAGGAAGGAGGGGAGGAGGGGGAGAGGAAGAGGAATATGGGGAGGAGGAGATGAGCAGAAGGAGAAGGAGGAAAAAGGGGAAGCAGGGGAAAGCAAGGAGGAGGAAGGGACAGAAAGGAAGGAAGAGGAGGAAAGAATGAGGTGGAGAAAGATATGGGGAGAAAGAAGGAGGAAGGAGGAGGAGGAAAGGGGAAAGGGAATGGGAGAAGGGGTGGGGGAGGAGGAGGAAGAGGAAGTAGGAAGAAGAGAGGAAGAGGAGGAGGAATAGCAGTAGGAACAGGAGGAGGAGGAGGAGGAGGGAAAAATAAGTGGAGGAAGAGGAATATAGTGGAGAAAGAGTTTGAGGAGGAGGAGTAGCAGGAGGAGAAGGAAGAAGAGGAGGAGGAGGAGGAAGAGAAGAAGGAGGAGGAGGAGGAAGAGGTGGAAGAAGAGGAAGAGGAGGAGTAGGAGGAGGAGGAAGAAGAGGTGGAAGAAGAAGAGGAGGAGGAGGAGGAGGAGGAGGTGGCAAATGAAGAGGAAGAAGAGTAGGAGGAGGAGGAGGAAGAGGAGAAGGAGGAATAGCAGTGGCAGGAGGATAGGAGGAGGAGGAGGAGGAGGAGGAGGTTGCAAGCTTCGAGGATTAGCTCCGAGCGACTAATAATAGCGATCAGATTTCGCGCTGGGAGTCGGCGTCCATCTCAACATATGGTTCGAAATCGGCCGTTTGCGAGTAGCGCTTTCTCGCTAGAGGAATCGGCGGGGGCTGCGCTAGGTCGGGTCGCCACGCGGTTTCGAGAAGAGAACCTGACATTTATTATGCGACACGCGTACAGGTCTCTCCCTATAAGTGAGATTTCCAGCGTGCAATGTGTTTGCGTTACCATGGTCGCGAGGGAGAGAGGGAGGGAGAGAGAGGGAGAGAGAAGGAGAGGGAGGGAGGGAGGCGGCGAGGGGGCGACCGTCGAATGCACCTTCGCTCTGCAGATCAATGCTACGTGCAGCGTTGCCAACGTAGCGGTTTTGGGCTACGTCTCGCCCCATTTGGACAAGGGTTTCGCTATCAGGTGTGGATTTGAGATTCTGGAATTTTGTCATATACATATATATATATTGGGGGGAGGGGGAGGGGGGAAGGGATGGGTGAAAGAAGAAGAAGAAAAAATATTTTAATATATTTTCTACTTGTTTTGAAATTGGGTGAAATGATCCGAGTTTATGTAAATTACATGCAAAATCGCTAGTTAATGTTTGCAAGTCCTTTTTTTTTTTAATTCGAAAAGAAATATGTGCTATGCTTTAGTAAATATAAATAAATGAATAGATGAAATAAAAGTGAATTTACATGCTTATGGGAAATTGTTCAATATTGTGATAATCTTACTGTATTTGGTTTGATTGTGTGAGTGTGTGTGAGTGTGTGTGTGTGTGTGAGTGTGTGTGTGTGTGTGTGTCTCTGTGTGTGTGTGTGTGTGTGTGTGTGTGTGTGTGTGTGTGTGTGTGTGTGTGTGTGTCTGTGTGTGAAGCGATTGTTTAGTTATCAGTATAAAAAATAACAGATAAGACATATCAAATACGTGTTCTTCAAAAAAGCAATTGACATTAACTGATCAAACATTAGATTACGGGTATTTCCATTTCCATACAGGTAACATAAGTAACATTAATCATTTTAGCCTAAAAAACATTTATGAACGAGTCACTCTTAATAAACATATCTAATAAAACGAATTCCTTGAAAAATCATCCAAATGTGGCTACATCTCTCGCCCGAAAATCCAAAAAGTAGCCCAAAAGTAGCCGATTCCGCTCCCGCCGTAGCCGCGCGCGAGTGGCGGCGTGTGGCAACACTGGCTGCGCGGGGCTGACTGTCATGCCGGCGCTGTCAGAGGCGCTGTCAGGGAGGCAAGTCTCGCTCTCGTCTCGCATTCTCTCTCCCTCGCCCTCACGCCCAGCCGCACCACGTCAGTCGCAGTCGAGAGCGCGCCAGCGGAGTATGGTGTCCGTGTGAAGTGTCTGCGGCCCCGATCAGCGTGCAGCCAGTGTGAAAGCCCGGATTTAAGGACGCGGCCCCGAAGGCGTTTTGAAAAGCACGCCCGAGCGCGAGCGTCACTCCCGCCAGCCCCTGCGAGCGCTGGACCAACCGCGGCTCTGCCCGAGCGCGCCAACACACTTCCCGCCGCCTTCGCGCCTCCCGAATCGGGCCCGACGCTCCCACCCCGCTCGCCTCCTGCGCTCCGCTTCACTGAAACACCATGTCTGAAGAAG